CCATATGGTCCCCCAAGCACCGCCAGGAGTAATTCCTGAGTGCAGAGCCAGGAGGAACCCCTAAGCATTGCTGGGTGTGACCCAAAGAGCAAAACAAAAATCGTAAGTCTACAACTGTACCTCATGGTGTTTCACTAATAAAAATTTTTTTAAAAAAGGTTGATCAGGGCAGTTAAAACACAAGTTAGTTGTCAAGGAAATAAAAATATATATATGAATATCCTCTAAGACCCCATCTGTAATCTGAATCCCAAGAAAAAGAAAAAAAAAGAAAAACCAGTTTCTGCCCTGCCGTGGAGCAAAGGAGGTGAACACAACTGAACACAACACAAGTGAACACAACTCCAGGCTCACCAAACGCAGTTACCAAAATGCCCACCAGAGGGCAGTGCCGCCCTAGAGCCGTCCTCCCAACGGGGCGCAGGAACCCAGAGACCGGGACGCCTGTCTGGTGGGCACTGTCCACCCCGTGGGGGAAAGCCAGGGGGCCGAGACGCTATCAAAGCACAAGGGCGTGAAACTGGTAACAGCTGCAGACCCCAGCCCGCCCGGGTTGAGAGAAAGTGAGGGCTGGGAGGGAGACCCTGACCAGGCGAGAGCCCCCGTCCCCAGGTCCCCAGGGGTCCTCGAGGCCCCTGTCAGCGGGGACGCCTCTGCCGTTCCCACCTTGCTGGAGCTCCTCCCTCCCCCAGATTCCCCAGTGCTCTGAGCCTGCCCCGTGCCACCCCCAGATCTTTCGCAGCCTAGGCTGATGGTCCTGGGCCTGGGCCCACCACACCTGTGGGGTGACACAGAGATCTTGGGAGTCCCCAGCCCGGCTGCCCACTCACCTCTGACTCCAAACTCCGGTCTTGTCACCTAGTGCCCTGGGGGAGCCCAGCGCCATGCCAAGAGTGACATGGTCCGGGGTCCAGGTTCTGTCCCGGCCGACCTCGGCCTCTTCAGGCAGAATCCCGAGTGCCCCCAGTGGGTGGGCTGCCCGTGAGGTGCCCCCCGACCCAGCTCTCTGGGATGCAGTGATGTTCTCAGGGCCCGCGGGAGCCCTGCCGGCAACCTCCCTCTGTCCCTTGGCCCAGCAGAGACCCGGGGGAGGCAGGCCGGACCCCCTATCTGACACTGGGCTTTCCTCCTGTCAAGGGGCTCGGTCGGGCACCCTTCCCCGGCAGCCTCACCCCGGGCCTCCCCGGAACCGCCCGTGTCTCTGCTCTGGTCGTGTTCCATCAGCAAACACAGATGCATGTTCCCGGCCCCACACTTCCTTCTGACGGGCTCCGCATTAGTCCGGCACCCCCCACGCGAACTCTTGGGGGTCGTGGATACTTTCAAGAGGGCAAAGGGGTCCTGAGAGCAGTGAATGCCCAGGGACACAGCAAGCACTGGTCTCTGCAGCCCCCCAGGAGGGGAGTAGCGCCCTGCCTCACCCCCACATCCAGGGAGGGCGCATGACAGCCCCGTTTCCTGGAGACGAGACACCGTCTCACATGACCTGTTCCCGAGGTTGGGCCCTCGCCGGACGCACCGGGGGAGGCAACGGCCAGTTGGGACTAAGGTACTGAGCTCAGTGGCTTCCTGGAAGCGGCAGTTCCTGGGAATGTGAGACCCCACGGGTGGTGCTGTGTCTGGGTGGGAGAGCCGGAGGCTGCCCCGCTGTGCCCACCAGTGCTCGCCGCCTCTCTCGGGCCCAACTGGAATGTGGGAGATGATGGGGGGTCTGGAACTTGGGTTCAACCAAGGCGCTGCCTCTCCGTGCTCCCGAGTGCTCCTCAGCGGCTGCTCCTGGGCCCTTCTGCGAGGAGTCCGTAGCGAGCAGGGATGAAGCCTGAGCCATTTCCCGCGGGGTCTCTCTGCTCCCCCTCGTGTTGGGCCTTCAGTGGGTGACGGGAAGAGAACTCAGCGCCCACCATGCACGCTCGAGTCTCCAGTCAGCGTCCATGACCTCTGCCCTTCCCGCCCAGCCCCGCCTGCTCTCAGGTGACCCCATCCCCCCCCCCCCTCAGGCCTCTGTGGCCTCCTCTGGAGCGAGCCCAGCAGAGAGCATCTGTGCCACGTGTGTGAGGCCAGGGTCATGCCAGCACTGCACACTCACAAGAGGGGAGTCTGTCTCAGAGGGAAACTGCACCCCCTTTGGAGGGCAGCCCGGGACTCCCCATCTCACACGCCCTGTTCCCAAGGCTGGGCCCTCGCCGGCCTCTGCGGGCACCCGAGCCACCAGGAGACGGGCAGAGGGTCCACGTCTGAGCAGGCCCAGATGGTGCTGTCTGGCATAGAATGGACCAAAGGATAGATAACTTGCTTCTGCCCGGCACTATGGGAAATCCCACCTGGCAGTTTGGGGGAGCCACTCCCGAGGCGGGGAACCCCGTGAGCTGTGCTGGGCCCTGGCCTGGGGGCGTCCATCACTGCACCCACCTTCCGGGGCCAGGGGCCAGACATGGCCAGGGCCTCTCTGGGATGGGCCGGGGCCAGGACTCCTCCAGCCCCAGGAGAGGGCAGCAGTGTCCCGGGTTTCCTCGGCTCTGTGGTGTCACCCTCTCCTCCGGGCCTGAGCCAAGCTAGACGTGCAGCCCGGTGGCCCGGAGCAGGCCCCGAGCGTGGACACGTCCCCTGTGCAGAGAGGCCTGAAGGGGGAGCTGCCCTCCACAGACCTGCCTCAGTTCCCAGGGAGTGAATCTGCCCAGCACCTGCCAAACTGGACAGCACCTCTCTGCTCTGCCCAGCACCAAGGCCCAGCTGACACCCTGGGCTGCAGAGCACTGGGCACGGAGCCTTGTGGGCGGGACCTGGGGCTGTGGGGTTCTGGCTGAGCAGGCGAACACGGGCACCTTCACTCCAGAGACCACGCCTGGCAGTCTCCGGGCACTTAGCACTTAAGAGTGTTGCAGAGTGGGCCAGGGGCCCTGGTGTGGCCTCTGGGCCATCAGCTCTGGCTGTTCTGAGCCTGCCGGCGAGTCTGGGCTCCCCCCCGGCCACCTCTGTAACAAGCCAGTGACCTGGTGGCACGTCTGTGCCCATGGGCTCACCCACTGCCCACTGGGTGGACCACTGTGTTCTCTCCTGGGAGCACCAAATCCTTGGTCAAGGGCTTGGCCTGGTCCCTGGTGACTGGGTGCCCTGGGGAGACCCACCCACATGGCTTAAAGGCACCCACAGGGATTCACCAGGGGCAAGTTGGCACCTTTGGTGCTGGGTGGGGCAGAATTGCTGGAGGCTGCGCCCAGTGCCAGGGGGCGGCTCCAGCTGGCCACCCTCTGTGCCCCCACCCTCGTGGGAGCTTTGAGAGTCTGGGGACGCGGCAGCCTGTGGGGTCCCCTGGAGCCCCCCGCTCTGCCCCCCCATGGCTCCCTGTCGGAGTGGGGGTCTGCACGGGCAGCTGTGTTGGGTCCTGGTGCCGAAGTTTGGGGTTGGGGTTCTCGGGACAAGGGCAGCCACACTCCCGGCTGTTATCAGGGGCTCTGGCCTCTGAGACTCTCCCCCACCCCAGCTGCAGGCTCGGGCCTGCCCAGGACACACCAGCGTGCCAGAGAGCTGGACTCCGGGTGAAGAGGATGAGGGTATTCGGGGACGGAGTCCCTCACCCGCTCCCCACCGTTGTCTCCACCCAGACAGGGTCACCATGTGGAATACTAGTCTGCCCTCAACAAGGACAGAGTCATTCCTTTCGGGACAGGTGTGCTACAGTGTGCTTACAGGCACCCACGTGGGGGGAGGGGGCGGCTCACGGCTTACAGGCACCCACATGGGGGTGGTGTGGGCAGCTCACAGGTTCCCACGCCTCAGCCTGAGCCTCACCAGCCCACGACACAGCAGCGAAACGCGCTCTGAACAAGAAACAGCCGCTTTCAGTGAAAAACTGGGCTGCGGGTGGGCGGGCAGCACTGAGGAGCCTGCCGGAACTTTCCAGAACCTTCAGGTCCCTGCATTTCCAGGCTTCCACGTCTGCGAGACAGGGGGCATTGACAGTCACTAGTGCAGGGGCGGGGGGTCACCGCCGAGGCCCGAGAAGGCTTCCCCCCCTCCCGACTGCCTGTCCCCAAGTCAGGACAGACGGCAGAGTGCCAGCAAGGACCCCCTCCCCGCCCTCGGCTCTGCAAACATGGAGCCCGACCCCCGGGGCCCTGACAGTGGCATCTGGAGCAGGTTCCAGAAGCTTCCATCACAGGCCGTGCCTCCCCACCACGCGGAGGCCTGCGGGGGTTCCGTGGCGTTTATTCAGCAAGTGGGGTGGGGTCGGCCACCGAGCTCCCGTCTCGCTCCCTCCGTCCTGGCAGGCTCGGCCGTGGCCGTGCTCGTCTGTGCCCGCTGGTCCTGCTCTTCTGCAGGGAGGGGGGGAAGTCCCTTGGAGGGTTCGGATGCCACGGGGCCCGCCCCTCCCTGCAGGTGGGTGTGCTTGGGTTCTCCGTTGGGGTCACTCAGTAGGGGCTGTGCGGGCTCCGGGCAGTGCCAGGAGTCACACCCAGGCCTCCCACATCAGCCGGGGCTCAGCCCGGGCGCCAGCTTCTCCGTGGCTCTCGCCATCCCAAGCCAGGCCTGGGCACTGCCCGTCCGTCCCTTCTCCCCGCACGACGGTCTCTTCTCAGGCGCAGACGGTGCCTTTCGTGCTCAGAGACGGGAGGTTTCCAGCTCGGACGGACTTGAGGGACACAGAGGTAGGGGCTGGAGGGGAGATGCAGCCCAGGGGGGCTGAGCCTGGTCCCGGGACCCTCGGCTCCGAGGCTGCACAGCCGGGTGGGTGGGGGGCATCGTGGGGAGGGGCCAAGGCAGAAGGAAAGGGAAGATGACAGTCCGGCAGCCTGGTTACCGGGGAAGGTCGCTGAGAAAGAGGAAAATAAATACAGGTTTGCTGGAACGGCTGCGGCACAGTCCGAGGGGAGCGTAGGGGGTCGGCGGTGGGCGGGGGGGTCGTTCGGCCCGTCTCCCGCCCAGCCACGCGCAGGCCCCCGAGCCGGGGGGGGGGGGTGCTGCTCGCCGTGGGGGGCCGCGGGCCGGGGCGAGGGGCTGGCTCAGAAGAGAATGCCGTCCCGAGGGGCCTCCTCCATGGGCTTCCGCTGCTCCTGCTTCCGCTGGTAACGGGCCTTCTGGTAGAGGAAGATGAAGCCCACGGTGCCCAGGGCCAGCGCCATGGCCAGCAGCAGTAACCAGAAGGAGAAGCCGTAGGCGTGGGTGGTGCTGCGGAGCGTGGCACCCTGGGAGACCTGGTGCAACTTCCAGGCCAGCGCCTCCGAGAGCTGGGAAGACTGCGTGTTCACCACAAACAGCACCAGAGTCAGGAAGGCGAGGGTCACTGGGCGGGAGAGAGGCGCGTGTGGGTGACGGGAGTGGACGCCTCCCGCCCCCGGACCCAGGTGGCTCTTGGGGGGCGGGGGGTCCAGGGCCAGGCCCGGAGGGTGCCGGACCTGCCCCGGTGCCCCCCTCAGGGAACCACGGGTGCCCTGCCGCCGCCCCCCTCATCCCACTGACAGACGTCCCCACGTCACTGTGTCAGGAGGAGCTGCCAGGGCTCCCAGAAGCACTGGGTCAAGTATTAGAGAAGCGTCTCAAGGATGCGGCGAGAGCCCCCTGACCCGGAGTTGTGGGTGAAAGCAGGAGCACCCAGGAAGCTCGGAGAGACTGAGGAGGAGAATCGGGCCTGACCAGGCCACAGCAGAGTGGGCAGTGGGCGGGGTGGGGGTCGACACAGCAGGACCCCAGCCCGGGAGCCGCGCGGGGGATTCACGCCCTGCAGACAGCCTAGAGAGAGTCAGGCTTTGAAGCCCTGTCCGTCCATCTCTCTGTCCGTCAGTCTGTCTCTCTCCCTGACACCCGCCCCCAGGGCCCAACGGGCGCCATCTCCCCCCCCCCCCCCCTTCTCTCCCTCCTCTCCGGCACCTTCCGCCCAGAACTTTCCTCTCTGTGGACTTCGCACACGCCCTGAGTCAACACAGGAGCATCCAGCCGGGGCCGGGCGGCACTCAGGGCCCGCGGCCAGGAGCAGAATCTGGCCGCTTCGGCCCCGGGGCAGCTGAGGCTCCGCTTCTGTTTGGAGCTGACGGTGCCCCCGACACCCACATTCCCCGAGGAGGGGGCGCCCGCGGGGCTCTGCTGGGACGGGGTGGTTGGCAGGGCCGAGTTGGGGCTGGCTGCCGGCGCCCAGTCACGGGGCCCTAATGACAGGCCCCGCGGGCGCTGGGCCCTCACCCGAGGAGACTTTCAGGCAGGCTGGAGGGTTTCGCTTCCCCGTCCTGCCCGGCCGCAGTGTCAGCCCCTTCACAGCCGCCTGGGAAGTGCCCCGGGTGCTTAGTCACAGCCGGGCGCCTGTGGGTGCCGTCTGGGTCAGCCTGGCCTGTGTTTAACGCACCTGCCGCTTTACGGGGGCAGAAAACGCTGAATGTGTGTCTGGGAGTCTGAGCGCTCGCTCCGGGCTGAGAGCACTCGGGGCCCCAGGGGGTCCCGTGAGGGCAGGGGTCAGAGGGCACCAGCTGGTGTGGGGGCGCAGGGGTGGAGTGAGTCGGCCAGGCCGAGAAGGCCCCGAGGCTGGGCCCACACGCAGGACTGAGTTTGACCTCCTGGGCCTCGGGCCTGGCACTGTCAGGGCGGGGTCTGGTGGCTCCTTGGCACGACCAGGTTGTGGGGACACGTGAGGGTCTCCAGACGCCACGAATTCCTCCTGTCCCTCCGGGGGTTCCGGGGAACGGCTCTGCCTCTGCCCTGCAGGCGTGCGTGGGCCCAGCCCAGCCCCGAGCTCAGGCCTGCCCTGTGCCCCCTCCTGGGCCCACAACCCGCAGACCCCACAACCCTCCTCCAGGGCTCACAATCCTTCCTGGGGGACCCACAATCCCCTCCCTCCTCCCCTCCCCCCTCCCGTGTCCCATCCCCATCACCCTCCTCTCTCCCTCTTCCTCCTTCCCCTTCCTCCTCCGCTTCCTTCCCCTCCTTCCTCCCCTTCCTCCTCCTCCTCCTCCTCCTCCTCTCTGGGGGCCAACCCCCGGATCTGGGCAGCACATCCACCTGCCGGTTTGGGTGGAGGACACTCTCCCAGCAAGAGGAGGGTCAGATGGTCAGATCAAACTTCCTCGGAATCACAGAGAAAGTAACGTCCCAGCTGCCCTCGGACATGCCAGGGATGGCCGCTGCCCTCTTGCTGAGTGGCCCTGGGACCCGGAGGTGCGTGTGGACAGCGGGGCCTGCGCCCTGCTCGGGCTGGCCCTGAAGCTGCCCCCTCCCCCCGATGCACAGTGGCCCAAGACAGCTCCACTCTGGCCATGACGCTGCTCTTCACTGGGCTGGGCTGCCGGGGGAACAAGAACACAAGGGCCAGGGAGACCCTCAAGGGGACCTGGCGCTGCCAGGCTGTCCCCCCACCCCTCGTCCCTGGCCGGGCCCCAGGGGACAGGAACGGGGAAAGCTCGCATGCAGCACGCGTTCAGTGCTCCCTGCACTGCAGCACCAGGAGGGGCAGCCTCATCCTGATCGTGCTGGCAGGGGACTGGCCCCTCTGGCCCTGAGCGGGACCCTGCTGGCCCCTCGGCCCCAAGCAGCACCTGTGCAGCTTCCCTGGGCCAGCGGATCCTGGGCCCAAGGTGTCGCAGGCGGCTCAGACGTCCTCTGCCGCCTTGTGAGCTGGGGAACCTCGGAGCAGACGCTGGCACCATGGGACAAGGCAGGGCTGTGCCCGCTGCCCTCCGTGGAGCTGACCCTGCTCCACACAGCCCTGCAGCCTGGCCACCTCCAGCAGCCAGCAAGGACGGCCCGGGGAGGACAGCATCCCACGGCCACTCCCTGTCACTCCCTGTCACCTTCTCCCAGGCTGGGAGTGCCGGCTGGGTTGGCGGGGCCTCCAGAGTCCCCTGGAGTGCCTGGTCCTTCTGGGGGCCAGCGCCATGGAGGGGAGAAGGGGCCTGCCGGGGAGCCCTGGCAGGACAAAGGGACCGCGGCCTGGGGCGGGGGGACGGGCGTGGGTGTGACCGTGACTCAGAGCCGCGACCCCATTGGCCGGCTCCACCCGCCACACCCCGATCCTGCAGACTCATCACGGCCACCCGCCAACACCGGGCAGCCCCAGGTCACCCCGCGACCCCCACCCCGCGGCCCGGGTGCAGGGGTGTCTCCACGGGGGTGAGGGAGCCTCGAGCCAGGAGCGAGGCCCGGCCGGTTCGGCCAAGCGAAGCCCAGTTCGTGGCAGGCATCTCACAGCAAGCGCCCCTCCACACCCCCCACCCCCCGCCCAGCCCTTCACGAATCCACCCACGGAAGGGGCTGGGAGGTGCCAAGTTAAGGCGTGGCCTTGCAGGTGGCACCTCATGGTCCCCGAAGCACATCCCCGGACACCCCCACAAAGCCCTGAGCAGGACCCCCCCCCGCCCCGGCTCTCACCTGCACCCACCGTCCATTGGCTGAGCGACTCCAGGAGGGGGCCCAGTGGCCTCCCGAACCCCACCTGGGTGACCCCCTTCTCCCACCTCCCACCCTGAACCCACCCGGAAGTGATTCCCAGGGCCCTGCCCGCGCCCAGGCTGCAGCGTGTCCCCACGGCGTGTGGCCTGGCAGGCGGGCGGGCTACTCACTGCTGAGTCCGCTCCAGGTGTAGACCCCCACGGCCCCCATGAACGTCTGGTAGGGGTTGCTGATGCTGTTGTACAGGGAGAAGCCGGCGCTGAGCAGGGCCGTGACCAGCGCCATGACCAGGAAGAAGATGACCAGCGAGTGCAGGGTCTTGGCGGGAGAGGTGCTCAGGAGCTCTAGGACTGAGGCAGGGGTGAGGGGGGGGTGAGCGCAGGGGAGCGGGGCCCACCCGGGGCTCCGGCCTCCGCCCCCAGAAGCAGACTCGGGACCACGAGGCTGCGACCCCCCGTCTCCCAGGCAGAGGGTGCAGGGAGGTGGGAGGTGCCACGGGAACCCCAGGCCCCTTCCCTGACTCTGGCCACTGGCCGTGCCCACAGCTGCCCACAGGGACCCTCCTCTGAGCACGTCCCCTAGAAGACACTTCTGGGCCCCGGGACGACCAGCACAGGCTGAAGGCCCAAGGAGGGCTGACCGGGAGGCAGACCCCGCTCCAGTCCATGGGGCCTGGCGACCCCGCTCCAGTCTCAGCCCCCTGGACGCCAGCGACCGGCCAGGCCTGTGTATCCCTCCCAGGGGTGGGGGCGGGTGGCGTTTTCCGGCGAGCCCTGTGACTGTCCCCAAGAGAAGCCCTGGAGTCCAGCCACAGACCGACGAGGGGCAGTGAAGGAAGGGATGGGCTGGGAGGAAGACCCCCAACTTCCTTCTTTCTGTTTCCGCTCTGGGTCCCCCACAGGGTTTCGGGGTGCTCACACCCTTCCCAGCACGGGGTTAAAGTGCAGAGACAGGAAGTCTGGGGGAGGTGGGGGGACGCTCCCTCTCCGTCTCTGTCCCACCGTGATGCGGGGGACCCTGCCTCTGCGAGGCGCCCCCCCCCCCCCACTGCTCACCCCTTGAGCCTTCACAGTCCTGCCAGACCTGCGTGTCTGTGCGCTGAAGGTCCGAAGGTGTCTGGGGGCGGCTGGACAGGCCTCGCAGGGGAGCCCTCATCGGCCTGTGCTGCGGCCAGGGGACCTGTCCAGCAGGGCAGCCAGTCCCTGCCCGGGGCCCTCGCTGCCTCCCTGCCCTGAGCTCTGCCCCTGCGGCCCCCGGGAGTCCAGGCAGGAAACGCCGGAGGGAGACTCAGCCCGCGGCCACCGGACATCCCGACATCAGGTCACACTCAGGCACCGCGGAGGCCCCTGAAACTGTGGCCTGCGGTGGACTCGGGACCCGGAGGGGTCAGAGCAGACGGGGCCTGAGCACTCGGTGGGCTGAGACCCTCGGGAGGAGACAAGGCCCAAGCCACACTGTTGGGGAGCTCCACAGCCTCGTGCCAACGGCGGGAGAACCTTCCGGAAGCGGGGCCAAGGCCAAAGCCACACCCAAGGCCTGAGCTCACCCGGAAGCCGCGTCTGCTCTGGACCCGCCCGAGTGTGCGGTGATGCCCCCGCACGGCTCTCATGACGTGCCTGAGGTGGCTCAGAGAAAGACGCGTCACGGTGGGACCGTCTGTCCAAAGGTGCCGGGTCGGACGTTGTTCGTGTTTGTGGGCTGAGTCACCGCACCAAGGCGGCTCCCACACACCTCCACACACCTCACAACCCCACACCCCACACCCCACACCCCACACCCCCACCACCCTACCTCCCAACACCCCACACCCCCACACCCCTACACCCCACACCCCTACACATCAGCCTGCACAGCCCCAAACATCACATCCCCGGACCTCACGCCCCACCCCTCACACCCCTACACCTCACAACCCCCACACTCACACCTACACACTTCCCACACCTCCACTTCGAACCATCTCACATTCTCACACCTCCCCCCGCATGCCTGACCTCCACGCCTCACACCCCCGTACTTCACAGTCCCTCGCCTCATCCCCTGTACCTCCCCCCCCCACTCCTCACCCCCCACACCTCAGCTTCCAACCACCCCCACGTCTCCAGAACTCACCCCCCACACCGCACACCCCCCCAGGAGGGCCGCTGAGTGGGCTGTGGTGGCCACACGGCCCCTGGCCTCCCGAGACATGATGCTGAGGAGGCTGAGGAGAAAGCTGACGTTCGGGTCGGGGCAGGAACACGGCACAACAGGCTGGAGCTCCTGCCTGGCAGGCAACCCAAGCACACAGGGTCTCCGAGCACTCAGCCAGGAGCCACCCCTGGGCACCACCACGGCCGCCCGGAAAGAAACAAAAAGGCAGGAAAGAAAGCCGAGGGTGAGGAACTGTCCGGGTCTGCCCACGGGCGTGGGGGTCCCGGGAGAACGTTCCTCTCTCCACCGACGAGCTGTCACGCAGGGCGCTCGCCCGGATGGGGACGTGACGTGGGCCCAGCGCTCAGGGCCGCGAGAGGGACAAGCAGCGTGGCTTCGCTTCCGGTCCTGGGTGAGAGTCCCAACCCCGGCTTCCCTCGGGAGCGGGTGGCAGCCTGCGGCCTGTCCGCCCACGGCACAGCCCAGCCTCGCGGTCACGTCGTCTCCGGGCCCCCGAGAGCCGCGCTCACCCCCAGGCTCACAGGCTGAGCGGTGGGATCCAGGGCCTGCTCGGAGGAGCGCAGCCAGCGACCCCCTCGCAGCTGACAGCTGCTCTGTGCTGCCGGTAAATTTAGCAACCGCGTCTCCTTCCCGTGCCCTCGCGGAGGGGTCGGGTGCGAGGCTCAATCGGGACTAATTGTCCGGGTGCTGAGAGCAGGAACGAGGCCACGAGCCCCCAGCCGAGGAGTGTGGCAGGCGTCATCAGCAGGCAGAGGGGCTTGTCCTGACGCGGGGCTGGGAGGCTTGGACCCCACAGCCCTTGGCCCTCTCAGTGGCAGCTTCTGGCGGGTCCTCAAGTGGACCCCAGAGGCTGGCGGGGATGGAGCCTTCAGATGGACCCAGAGGCTGGGGGTGGGGGAGATGGAGTCCTCCTGTCCTTCCCCGGGCGGGCTCCCCCACCCCCGCACTGACCACACCAGTCCCCACCGGGTGCCGGGAGCGAGGAGAGGCCCTGGCTGGTGTCCGGCTCCAGGAGAGAGAGAGCTGTGGCTCGGGGCGGGTGAGGGTGGGGACCAGCTCGGGATTCTGGAGTCATCAGCCTCATTTGTGCTCTTTGCAATTAATTGCATTTTTCGCTTAGGAGATTCGCTTTCCGGGTTATTTTTAGCTTGAACTAATAGTACAACCGTGAGTTCCCGGAGAACAAAGGAGAGTCGGTAGGAGAAGCCGGGCTAGGGGCAGGGAGGGGAGTGAGCGGGGAAACTGCCCCCCAGAAGAGGGCCCAGACTCACGGCCGAGCCTCTCTCTCTCTCACTTGGCCATCCATCGGCCATCGCACACAAGGCCATCCCTTCCCAATGGGGACGCAGAGGCAGGCGGGAGCACACACCGGGCGACAGTGAGACACCAGGAGGTGGGTCTGGGACGGAGCCCAAGGCCTCTCCTGGGCCTGCCGGGGGTCTGGGACAGGGTCCGAGGCCTCTCCTGGGCCCACCCGAGGGTCTGGGAAAGGCCTGAGGCCTCTCCTGGGCCAGCCTGGGGGTCTGGGTTACAGCCTGTGTCATTATCTGGGCAGGGGCTGTCCCAGGAGTTCCATCCCCACCACACACCCAGGGTTCTGCTCTCGGCGTGGGTCCTGGTCACGCTTCCGCCCGCCTGCCTTGGGGGCCGCCTTCACACCGGGTGCTCAGAGCACCCCCATGTAGAAACTCTGCGGAGAGACGGTGACCTGCTGTCCCGGGCATCGGAGTCTGGGACCCAGGCTTCCCTGGTCACTGGGATTCTGTGTCATGACTGAGGACGCAGACGCCTGAGCCATGTGTGAGCCTCCCAGCAGCGCGTGCCCCCGAGTCTGTCCTTGTGTTCATGCCGAGGGGGCCCGCACGCCCAGCCTCACACCCCCCTCCCCACAACAGGCAAACACTCTCTCTGGGGCCTGTGGGGAAGCCCCTGAGGCAGCGGGCGTGGAGGCCCTGGGGGCCCCCTTTCCCCGGTGAGGCTCACACCGCCCTTTGGCACAGTTCCTGGAAGACTGGGCGTGACCCCGCGAGCCTGGTGGCCCGTCTCATGATTCCCCCGCCCTGCCTCTCTGGCCGCAAATGCCCAGCGCACCCCGCTGTCCTGCTTCCATGAACCGTCCTCCCTGACTGGCTCACAGGCAGGCAGGGGTATGTCCTGTGACTCGGGGGTCACACTTCGATCCAGGACCCTGATCTCTCCAAGAGTGCATGCATCCGGGGTGTCTGAGGTCACCGCGACAGTGAGGATGCCACCCTGGGGCCTGGGGTCCTTGCAGCTGTGAGCAGAGCTGATGGCAGGGGGACACTGGGCAGGGACCTGGGTAGAGGCTGGACTGGGATCCACGGGAACGGGGAGGAGAGAGCTCAGCCCCGTGCCCCTCACCCTGCCCACGGCCCCCAGTTGTGGCCACACAGCAGACCACAGCCGCTGGACACACCTGACCACCCTCAGGGGGTCCACACACCTCTGCCCAGAGAGAGGGAATGAGGCCCTGCCAGACAGGGACCAGCGTCCAAAGGGCCAGTGGACACACACAGAACCGCCCACATCTCCTCCCACGCAGAGACACTCACTGCATCTCCGGGTCAGAAACCAGCACCTTCACAGCTGCCAATGCGGTTCCGCAGCTGAAAGCGTGCAGGCCTGGAAAGGGGGGTCTCTAGCTACCCCACCTACAAGCAGCCTCGCCCAAGAAGCACCTGTTTGTAGGACGCGTTTCCCGACGTGAGGAGGCCAGCGCCGCCTGGCACCTGTTAGCACCAATAGGATGCTCTCGGGCCGTGTGGCTCAAAGCCAGACCCACCTGCAGCGTCCAATCATTGGTGACCGTTTCCCTCGCTGATATTTGGGAAACATTATCAGGGTCTAGCCAAGCCTTAAAATTCACCCAAGTGAACCCCTTGGACTTCTCATTCTCTTGTAGGGCTAAGAGCAGAACAGAACGAATCGGGAAGGCCAGAGAAATAGAGAATTTGTAGAATGGAGGGAACTCGAATCCCAGGCCTAACAGCATCACTTCTCTGGAAAGTCAGAACGCAAATTCGCGGGAATGGAGGAAGAAAAGAAGGACAAGTCAGAATGCAAATTCTCGGGGATGGAAGAAAAAAATCGAAGGAGCAGAAAGAGGAAGTTGATTATTTTCCTGTTTGCTCTGCCCTTGGGCAGAAACCGAGAGGGAAACTCTGAAGGTCCTTTTTTTTTTTTCCTCTTTAAGCCTTTCCACCAAATTGAAGTATCAAAAACACTTCCGAACAGTTTCTATGAAGCAAATATCACCCTGATACCAAAAGCAGACAGAGATACCACGAAGAAAGAGAATTACAGGCCGATATCCCTGATGAACACAGACGCAAAGATCCTCAACAAACTATTAGCAAACAGAATCCACCGACTCATCAAAAAAATCATACACCATGACCAAGTAGGACTCATCCCAGGGATTCAAGGATGGTTGAACATTCAGAAATCGATCAACATAATCCATCATATCAACAAAAGAAAAGATAAAAACCATATGATCAGGGGCTGGAGCGACAGCATAGCGGGTAGGGCGTTTGCCTTGCATCCCACTGACCCAGGTTCAATTACCAGCATCCAGTACGGCCCCCCGAGCACCGCTAGGAGTGGTTCCTGAGAAACCCCTGTGCATTGCTGGGTGTGACCCAAAAAGCAAACCAAAAAACAAAAAACAAGACAAACAACCATACGATCATATCAATAGATGCAGAGAACGCATTTGACCAGACCCAGCACCCATTTATGACGAAAACTCTCAGCACGACAGGCATCGAAGGAACGTTCCTCAGTATAGTCAAAGCCATCTACCACAAGCCCACGGCAAGTGTCATCCTCAATGGGGAAAAACTAAAAGCCTTCCCTCTAAGATCAAGCACAAGACAAGGTTGCCCACTGTTGCCACTCCTGTTCAGTATAGGACTGGAAGTCCTGGCCATTGCAGTTAGGCAGGAGAAAGGTATTAAGGGCATACAGATAAGAAAGGAAGAGGTCAAACTATCACTATTTGCAGACGACATGATTCTATACTTAGAAAACCCTCAAGACTCTACTGAAGGTCCTTACTGTCCTGAAATTCCTCCCAGCCCTTCGAGGGCCCATTGCTGTTACACGGGTTTGCTTAAACATTGACTCATCCCCATCAACATCGACTCAGTGAGAAGAATTCCGCCCAACACATACCAGACCCAAGCGGCTGAGCCCGAGACAGTGTGTGTCCCAGGTTAAAGCCTCCCTGGCTTGCTCTTAGGCGTGGGAGGAAATGACTCCAGAGCAATTATTCGGCTCAAAACACAAGCCAGCCGGAGCCCGACCCAGCCCCGTCGAGCTCGCAATACCCGCTCCGCTTTGTTTCTCGTTTACCATTAAAATATTTTGTTGGTTCCTGCAGCCCATTGTCAAATTTCTGGTTGCTCTGGCCACTGAAAAGACCGTAGGATAAGGTGATGGTGCCGTTAGAGGCCGGGTCGCTGAAGAACACTTTGCTGCTGACCCACTGGGTGGTGCCCAGAATCGAGCAGATCACCACGAAGGACCCCAAGCTGGTGAAGAAGCCTCCGAGGAAGAGCAGCGTCTTCTGCGTCGTAGGCATGGTGGTCTCGGAGAGCCAGCGGCCCGGGCCCAGACAACTGCAGAGCCTGGCGCTGGCCCGTGGGCCTGGTCATCTGCAGTCCAGTGCCGGGAAATGGAGGCTGGCACGTTTGTTGTGAGCCTATAACACTCCCCTGGGAAGGAAGGGCTCTACGGTGGACCTTGAACTCAGCCCTGCCATAAAGATTTACAGCGCCTGGACTTCAGCCCTGGGGAGGAGGGGCCCTGGAGGCATGGGGGGGGGGCGGGTTTCGGGCAGCTGTGCTGAGTTCCTGGCACTTCCTTGGCCACACAGTTCACCGGAGGAGTCACTGCAGCCCAGCACTGCGGTGTGTGGCGGATCCTAGTGGCTGGAGACTCGAGACCCAACATCCTGGAAATGGGGCAGGGGGGAGGGGACCCTAACCACTGCCCTGGAGGGGAGCCCTGAAGAGGGGTGGTGAGGCGAGAAGGGGCCCCTCTGCTTTCCAGACGCCCCCTTTGATGCTTCGATTGTTCCTTGGTTTGTTTGGGGCCACACCTGGCGATGCTCAGAGGACACGTTCATGGCCCTGTGCCCGGGTTCACTCCTGGTGGGTGCAGAGACCAGATGGGGAGTGAGATCGAACCCGGGTCAGCCCTGCCCCACCTGCCGCACTGTCTCTCCGGCCCCCCAGACGCCCTCCTTGGTGCGAGCCGTGGGGTCTTCCTCTCATTAGAGCCAGAAGGGCCTCGCCTTTGCTCCTCGTCGGACTCGCTGGAGGGCGCGGGCCTGGCACATTGCCACTTTCGACGGACGCGTTTAGCAGTTTGACACCCGCCGTGTTTGGGCGGCGCTGGTGGCAGCTCGGTGTTAGGGCCGAGGACGTGATGCCCTTGGACCCTCCAGAGTGGGGACACGGAGGCACCCCCAGAGCCCACAGTGCTGGGAGATTCCCGGGCACACCCAGAGCAGCTCAGGGCCTTGCGGCGGCTCCTGACCGTGTGCCCGAACCAGTCTCCCACACCCTGGGCCAGCCTGACCGTCCTCTCTGTGTGCCCATCCAGGTGCTTAGAGAAAGATTTTTTTTTGTCCCTGCATCCTGGGGGGCACCAGGCGAGCGGGGAAGCTAGCCTAGGGGTCAAGACACTTGCTTTGCACGGGGCCGACCCAGGTTCAATCCTGACATCACATACGAATCCCTCCTGAGCCCAGAGCCAGGAGCACCCCAAAGTGTGACCCTAACAGCCCACCCCAAATGAAGGGCACCCATCCCAGAGAAACTGGAGCACGTGAGTCACCAAGGGGCGTCTCAGCTCCTAGTTCGCCAGGACGAGAGGCTTCTCCCTGACCTTCCATCGTGCAGACCTTTCTGGGCGAAACTCTGGAATCAAACACATGCCACCCGCAGAGAGCGGGGGCCGTTTTGCGCCCAGCTCACCCGGCAGTGGGGTGACACCTCTCGTCTCTCACGGAAAATTGGTTCCAGATCTTCCATCTGGGACTGCTCACACTTTATCCCTGGGTTCTTAGCCATTGTTATTTTTATTCCTACACATTTCTCTTTACAAAATGGTTAATTTATGACGGGGCGGGGGGGGGGGACTCTTTTCATGTGTGACATCTTTTTGCACAGTTAAGAATAGAAAGGCCCTAGGACTGGAGTGATAGCACAGCGGGGAGGGCGTTTGCCATGCACTCGGCCGACCCAGGTTCGATTCCCGGCATCCCATATGGTCCCCATATGCACCGCCAGGGGTAATTCCTGAGTGCATGAGCCAGGAGTGACCCCTGTGCATCGCCAGGTGTGAACTCCCCTCCCCCCCCAAAAAAAAGAATAGAAAGGCCCTGTGAGCAGAGAGAGAGGACCAGGAGGAGTTTGGGCACTTGACTTGCATTCAACGACACTGGTTCCAACCCCCGCACTGTATGCAACCCCCACCCCATCCAAGCACCATCAGGGATCGAGCACAGAGCCAGAGATGGTCCCTGAGCACCCGTGGCTACGGCCCATAAATCCAAAAGGTAAAAAGAGAAGATGATTAACTTTCGTCAATACCACTTGTGTCATATAGAATCAGTATAGAGCCATCAGATTTCTCTATCGATTTGGTAGTACTTCTCTGAGACCGAAAGAATTGCTTTGACATATCTGTAAACTTTGTTAAATTTCAATGGCCCATAGAGTCAAATATTGTTTTATGCTTCCTGGGTTTGGGGACACAATTTCAAAATCATTCAGTTTTGTTTTGTTTTTTTTTTTTGAGCACGAAAACCAGCTCAATCCTACTTAAAGCAAAACTATAAGAATACAAGGTTGGGTTAAGAGACAGATCAGGAGTCGCAGTTCTTGACTTGAGGAGTCCAGTTTGGACCCCAGCACCGGACATGGTCACTGAGCCGGAGGAGATGCAGAGCACAGAGCCAGGAGGAGGCCCCGAGCTCCTGGCTGGCCTCGCAGTTCCCAAACTGAAGGACAGGAGAACTACAGTGTGAGCAGGAGAGCGATTTCTGTTCTGCTCTCTGCTCCCTTCTGTGTATCAACTTCATTCCTTTCTTAGCACTGTAGCACTGTCCTCCCGTTGTTCATCGATTTGCTCGAGCGGGCCCAGTAACGTCTCCATTTTTTTTTTTTGAGACTTGTTGTTACTGAATTTGGCATATTGAATACGTCACAGGGAGCTTGCCAGGCTCTGTCGTGTGGGCGAGACACTCTCGGTAGCTTGCTGGGCTCTCCGAGAGGGGCGGAGGAATCGAACCCGGCTTGGCCGGGCTGGCTGCATGCAAGGCAAACGCCCTACCGCTGTGCTGTCACCCCAGCTCCATTCTTTTTTTAATTTCAAAGTTTGTTTTGCCATTCTTTTTATTGACATCCTTCCATTTACTTCCCTTTCTAACTTTCTGAAATACTTTTCTTAACTATTTTGCCTGTTGACGAGCAGTGAAATCATTTGAGGCTGTGAGTTTTCCTCTCCATTTGGCTTCAGCGAGATCCAAAAGGCCAGACTCCTACACTTTTTCAAATAATCATTTTCCATCTCGAATGGTAATTTTTCGTTTTTCCTTTTTGAGGAAAAAGAACAACTCTGTGCTACGGTGTTTCTGTTTTTATCGTTCTTCTTCTTGAATTTTATTGATATTTTATTTGGAATTAATTCATAGTTAATTTTTTAAGGTTTTCAGTATATGCCATTCAAAGTTATTTTATGGATTTACCTTTGTCTTTTTTTCTTTCTTGATTTTTTTTTCGGTGGGGGGGCACATCTGATGGTGCTCAGGGCAGACTCCTGGCTCTGTGCTCTGAGTTAATTCCTGGTAAGGCTTAGAGGACCATCTGAGGTGCCCAGGATCGAACCCGGGTCAGCAGCATGCAAGGCCAATTCCCTATTCATGGCATCTCAGTCTGGCTCCAGGATTTACCTTTGTTTATTTAATCATGCTCCCTTCATTTATTTATTTATTTATTGAATCACCGTGGGAAAGGTTACAAAGCTTTCAGGTTTAGGTCTCAGTCATGCAAATATCAAGCACATTTCCCTTTACCAATACTTTTTTTTTACCATGAAGAACCCCAATAAAACCCCACCCCCCCACCCCTCCCAGTCCCTGTGGGGCAGATGAATTCTAGTTAACACTCTATCTGCTTTGATTAGATTCATTGTTTCAATAAAAGATTCACCACTATTATTTAGAGTTTACCCCCACCCCCCCCCCCAAATCAGACATGCTGAAAAAGCATTGTGAAGTGATTTGCTTTCTACAGCTGGGTTCAAGAATTAAATGTTGGTTTTGGATTTCTGCTATTTTACTTATTGACCCTGGAAGTATTTCTACTGAAAGTCAGATAGTTAAGAAATTGGTTTCTGTGCTCTGGAGTCGTGGCCGTGCTGGAGAGCCGCTAGTGGGGGGCAACTGGTGGCCTCAGTAGGGCGTGAAGGGCGGACTGAAATGCCCCCCTTCCCATGAGGTTTTAGTCGCCCCCACACCCCTGGCTCATACCTGCTGTCCACAAGGCTCCCATGCGGCTGCCATCTTTCTTTCCAGAGAGGAGAAGGCGACTGGGGCAACACCCTTTCCCCTCCGGACAGACAATCATGCTCCCTTTGAAGCACACCGGGGATATTACATTTTTTTCTTCATGTAAACTTGCTTGAACACAGATCATCATGTATCCTTTCTACAAGTTCTTCCGGTCAAGTTCTTGATTGCGGCAGATATTTCTGGATAATTCAAAATTTGATTTGACCCTCAAATTAGATCCGATTAATGATCCCACCAGCAACGTCAGAGAAATATTTCTTTCCTGGACAACTGAAAAAGAGTAGATATTAAAATTCTACTTGCAGGAATTTTTATACGCAACGCTGCATTGCGTTGTAAGCCTCTGTCTGCTTTTTCTCTCACTGACGCTTCGCCTTTTCTAGAATGTCATAGAAATGAGAGCAACGTGGTGTCCAGTCTCCGGTCACTGGCTTCATGCCTCTGGTACATGGTTTGGTGTCTCTAAGTGGGTATTTGGACCGATTCAAGCTTTTGGCAAAAGTGAATAAAATTGCTAAGAACACGTGAGTTGATTACACGGCACCGGAAGAAGAACAGTGCAGTCTCCTGCCCCCGCGCCTGACTGTCCTCGCCGCCAGGGCCCCTTGGAGGGGAGCGGGCTGAGCTTTCCTCCCCGCCCCAACCAGGGCTCCGGCAGCCAAAGACCTCCAGGACCAGCCACCACCATGCTGAGACCACTCTCCGCACACATGAAGGTACTGGCAGAGGGACAAAGCCACGCGGGTTCCGGGGCCGAGACCTCCAAGCCTACTCGGATTGGAGTCAAGCATCCTCCACCCAGATCCTCCAAATTCCAGTAGGCGGGAGTCACACCCACTAACTGGCCCCCTGGCGCCGTGTAATCCCATCAGCAGCCAAGACTCAGAGACTATAAAATCCAGATCCCGGAACCGCGCGGCCGCATTTGCGGCCACGCGACATCTTAACAGAACTTTTTTTTATGACATCTTATTATCTCATTCCTACTTTGGACAAACTGG